TTCCAAGGCAGCACCACTAGAGGTTTTTAGCGTCGCCCCCAGACGCTCCCTCAGCCCAGGGGCGCCTCCCGAGAGCGCCGAGCGCCCGTCCTGCCCGGCGGTGGGGCCCGGGGGAAGGAGAGCTGCTCGCTGCTCACTGCTCTGACACTGCACTCCTACCCCAGCCCCAGCTGGAGCGGGCTGCTCCGACACGTGGGGACCTAGCAAGCGGCACTGCGGGATCCGGGATACCCGCCCAGGAGGAACCGGGATCGCAGCGCCCTCCCGGCCGTCCCTTCCCCCCGGCACGGGGCTGAGGCGCGGCCCCGCAGCACGCGCCCGCCCGTGGCCCCGCCCTGGCCCCGCCCCTCGCCCCCTCACGCGCAACCGCTGCTCCAGCTGCCGCAGGCGCTGCGCCCACACGGAGCTCGGGTCGAGCCCGCGGTGCGGCCGCATCATCCTGCCCGGTCCCGCGCCGAGGCGGAGCGAGAACTCCCCCGGCTCCGGCTCCGGCGGGGATTTAACCTGGGACGCGTCTGGGGCGGTAGCGCGGCTGCCATGGCGACGGGCCCGCCCCTTCCCCGCCCGGCGCTCTGCGCTGCGATTGGCTGAGCGAGCGCCACCGCCTGCCAGCCACGCCCTATCCCTGAGTGGCAGGGCAGTCAACCAATCCGCGAGCAGGAAGCGGGAACGGGGCGGGGCCACGGCGGTCCCTTGTGACGGAGAGCGCCCCCAGCAGGGAGGCTGAGTAGGGAGCGGGCGTGCTGTCCGTGGTAGTGGGGGTCCCTCGGGACAAGTGACCTCAGAGGTCCGTACCCATTATCCAGAGGGTGGGGGATCCCTGTGCCTGCAGCGTCCTGATCTCAGAGACCATGGCCAAGGATTAGGGCAGGGAGTGCAGGAATAGAAGGAAAGCCTGGAGCTCCCAGGCCGGTGTAAGGCTACCCTGTTCCTGGGCTCAGGGACACAAGCCTCACATCAGCGCAAAGGGCGAGGAGGAGGAGAGAGTTGAGGGCTCTGATATTGGCTACACGACTTCCCCCTAAGCAGCCGGTGATGTGTGCTTGGGCTAAGGCTGTCAGGCCATAAAGAAGATTAAGGGATAGGAACATCTGTTACATGGAGTGTGCTGGGGGAAGTGCAGCCCGGAGGAAGGGAAGGCTGAGGGGGACCATGATCACAGGATATGCAAATACCTGATGGAGAGTATGGACACCACAGACTGCTCTGTGGTGCCCAGGGGCCGGGGCAAGAGGCAGGAGTCTAAGGACAGTGTGAGGATAGTCAAACAGTGGCACAGGCTGCCCAGAGAGATGATGGAGTCTCCATCCTTGGAGCTGCTCAAAGACCCAGCCCCATGCAAGCAGCCCTAGTGACCTTGCTTTGACAGGGAGCTGGATGATGCCCCACGGGGGATGTTCAGTAACTGCAAACACGGCCGGCATTAGGGCTGGTCTTTGGACAAGCACAAAGCCTGTGGGTTCAAGTCGTGTGGGACTCCTGATAAGCTGCCCAGAGCAGGAACTATTCATCCAGGCTATGGCTGGGGGTCTCCCACTGAGGTTTCCAAGGTGAAAATGTGACATGCATTAGCAACATTACTTGGTACTCTGCTGTATTTATTGCACTGAAAGATTTACATGGTCTTGAAAGCAGTCATTATACTATTTGGCTATAAAATATGTAAGTATACCAGATACAGACATGTCAGCTTCTTGGAAGTGGGAAATAGCACTATTTTTGCACTATAGTGTTTTGGGTTTCTTTTTTTTTAAACCAAAACCAACATGATAATTACAGAGGAATCCAATTCTGCAAAATAGCAGTCTCAAGTTACTCTCCACTGAACATGGTAATGTGCTCTCATGTGGACAGTAGAAAATCCAAAGACACAGAGCAGTGAATTCCTCCATGTTTGGCACAAAAGAGATAGCGTTCCTTTCCTAAGGAACTCAGATACAGCCCAGCTATCACAGATCAAACCAAACACCCCTGTGCAGCTCTATCCACCATCTTCTGGGATCCTGCATCTTCAACAAGTTGCTACAATCTATAGCCTCTGTTTGAAAAAAAAAAAGACCCATCTGGCTGGTTGCAGTTAAGGTTTGGCACACAAAAGTGTAACTCAGCAGTTCCTCCTTGCAACTAGCTCTGCTCTGATGGAAAAATGAGAACTGACAAATGGATACAGGCTAAAAAACAGTTCAAAAGAGCTGCAATGGTGTAGATGTTACAAGATGTTGGCACTAAGTAAGGCAGACAGGATTTTAATCAACATCAGCTATTTTGGGGAGGATGATTTAGTTGCTTGCAGGGTGTGACTCACTCAATTCTTGACAATGAGCTGTGATTTTAGATGTAATGCTTATCCTGCAGCAGCAATCAAGTCAGAACAACGTTATTTACCAGCGAAACTCAGCTTCATCCCAGAAGGATCACCTCTGAAGTGTAATGGTTAATCTCTCCCTCACTGTGGATTTTACCCACAATTAATGAGATTAAGGATCTTGTTTCTGTAGGTTGTAACACACAAGACTTAATTTACTAGCACTCTTTGAAGTAGTAACCTAAAATAGCATCCACTACTCCTATTTAGTCATTTCTCTGTGCACCTCTGAAGGTCAAATAGTACTAAAAATTGTCCCATGAGCAGAAAAACAAAAAATCTCAGTATGATGTGTAACTCTTCATAACAGCAGCAAATCTCCTTAGGGATCTTCCTTCTATTTCCAAAGCTTAGGAGAGGTTGCTTGATGAACGAAATAGCCTGTTGGTGAGACCTGGGAAAGAAACAACATCCAGCTGTCTTCTAGAAATGCTGCCAGACTACTGCAGCACACCCTTCTACGCTGATTCTCTACTTTGAAGAATAATTTTTCCCCCAACTTTCACCAACTTGATCCCATATTCCCCCTGCAGATGCAAGGCCCTGCCATATTACAGATCCTTCTGTGGAACTTCAGGGCCAGAAATGTCATGGAACTATCTAAACCCACATTTAACTCTTAATTTTAACTTCAGAGAAATGCCGTACATGGATTATAAAATCTGTCAGTGGATTACAAATCTTAGGTTACTATTAAGTAAGCATTGTCTTGAACACTTCTGATGCATTTTACTTTAACTCCAGTGGTGGAACCAACAAGACCTAAGAGGTCCCAGCTCCATAAACTTCTGATGAGCTGTCCATTGCAACATTCCTAAAGGCAGAATGAGTAGAAAAGCATTTGGGGAAAAAGCCCAGGAGAGAAGGCCATTATCCCTCTTCTGCCAAACACAGAGAGATTCTGCTGTACACCCCTGCCTTTTCTACTGCCTCTGCAGGGTGACATTCTCCACACTCAGCAGATGGTAACTTGAGACTGCTGTACTGCACACACGCTGTAAAAACATCATTTGGTGAAGCTGTAAATATCTCATTGCACATTTTTTGTGTTGAGTAGTTGAGTTCTGAGCACCTGTCAGTAACAATAAACTGAGATTCTCTAGGCAGGTGTATTGCACTGTGGTCTCATTATGTTTACCTGCTACTACAGCTGGGAGAGAAGTCAGCCAACTCCAAATGTTTAGCCTGTGAGGCTTTGCCTTCTGGAACACACAACCAGTAACTGACCCTGAGACAGCAGTATCGTTTGACAAAACAGGAGGAAGAGCCACTTCTTATCATACATGAGTCACTGCATGTGTTTTAAGACTGTTATTTCTGAAGATGATTTTTTACTAGGACTATGTTTTGTGTTATCTAATTGAATAAGGAGGTAAAGAACAGTCTTGTTTATTCTGCTACTTGTGTACTCATTGCTTAACATACAAACAGCAATCTGTATGATCAAGTATATTGCTTATTATTTCAGGGAACAGGATGCATACTATGGACTTGGTCAACTTCTTCATTTCACTGCATTTTCCTCAAATCCCAGCAAGATTGTAGTACAGACTAGCTAAAGGAGTTGAAAAACAGTGTATATGGATGATAGGTACAGAAGGGAGAATTTAACACAGATTTAAAATTATTTGTTTTGTAGAGAGCTGACTGCATATGCAAATATAACTTCACACAGTTATCACTCTAAGGGCCATCATCAGTAAAAGCACAAAGAGCTGCTGCCAAGGCTGACAGCTCATGTCCCTAAAGCAAAGCAGGTGCTGCAATGCCCAACAGCATCACACTAGTGTGCTCACTGAGCAAACCTGACCTGAAGGCATAGTCCAAAACATTTTTCCCACTGAAAATGCATTACTACTGCCCATCACACAGTTTCTCTCATAAACCCTGGAATAGTTTGGTCTAGAATAAGTTTCTATGACAAAGTTCACAGCTGCAATAACTACAGACTCAAATACACCACTTTCTGTTTGTACTGGCTCTTTTGTTTAGACTGAAGGACTCACATACAGAAGAGCAATGGATTGTTTCCCTGTTTCCATTTTCTTCTAGTCTAGACAGTCTACATTCAAAATCAAAAGTGGTGTTCTTTTGAGGTTATAGGTGTACATTTTCAGCAGATGTACACCTACAGCAGAAGGCATCTACAGCACTTCACTGGGGCAGGCTCCCTCCCCAAGCAGACTTTGAACTGCTGACTCCCATTAACCACAGCAATCCCAGTGGAGACTCTGCATACACTATTTACTTCTCCAAAAGATGCCATGTTCTAGGTTCCTCTTTGCTGTTAGAAAAACAACTTTGCACTTGAGGAAGATACAGATACAGTGTGATGAGTCTGTATGATCGACACCACTGGTATTTACTACTTCATAAACTGCTGGTTAACTGTAAAAATCACTTCCTTCATGTCAGCACTATAGGTATCAAACAGGCTAAGAAATTCTCCTGATTAGTGAAGGTCAGCCTCTGTTGATTCTCCATGTAAAATTAATTTGAAGTTTTCATATGAGATACACTGACTTTGCTCATAAATACGTTTTAAGAGGACAGGCAAGGCAAAACATATTAAGAGCCCTTCTGGTATATTGTTGTTAGGAATGCAGAATTAAATAAGAATACAAAAAACATTAAATGCAAAGTTAAATACAATACAAACTTTATTAAAAATAGGTTGCAAGTGAAATACAGTAGAAATGGGAAACTACAGCAGTTTTGATGTTTGTTTTTTTTTTTTTTCAAATAATGCACAGACAAATATGAAAAGCACTTTTACACATATTCACACTTGACCTGAATGCCCAATAGCGGCCAAATCCACTCAACTGAAGGTTATAGGTATTTTTTTGCTAAGCCTTTTTCAGAGTCTAGCAGCAACAGTAATTCAGCCACAGCATAAGTTTTTTTCTTCAAGAAAAATGTGTCACTGTAAGGCTGCTAGTGTTCTCAAGATAAATTGGGAGAGGCTTGCTTTTGCTGATGAACAGACATAGCAAGCATGCAGATCCTTCATTAACACTTTGAACCAGTTTAATCTTCTACTTCATATTTAACAGGTGAAACGGTAAAAGCACACTTTCAAATAAGAAACCTGAAATACGTAAAAAATATTTACACTCCAATTTTCATTAACCTGCATTAATTTATCATACAACTCTTATTAAAAGTGATTTCATTCCTAAGGCAGTGAAAGTCTACCCCTTTGTATTTGGAAGTGTGCACAAATCCCTAAATATATATTTATAAGAGAACAATATGATACAGGGAAAAAAAAATCATCTAAAGCCAGTAAAGGGCTTTGTCAAATAGAAAATTTGTTTGGAATCACAATATATATTGTCTTAACATCACACAATGAGAAAGACTCTGATGAGGTCCTTATTCCCAACATCATCAGCCACATAAGCATAGCTGAGGAAATAGTGGGAGGAAAAAAGATTAACAATTAAAAATTAAATAAGGCTATAACAGTGTGAAAAAATAGCTTGAACTGCCAAAAAGGCTTTCAGTACAACCATAATAGGATGTCAGTAAAGCCAGCTAGACGGAATGGGAGCTCACTAGCACTGCTCCTCAGCATGAGCAGGGATGGTTCCTTGCTAGCACACCAGCTCTGGTAATGACCTTACGAATGTTCCCACTTCCAGACTGCAGTACTGTATTTGATGCTTTGCACTTCAGTCTTCTTCTCAATATGCCCGCTGATATCTCCATAGGAAAAAAATCTATTGCTGAACTGATAATAACAGACTTATCAATGCTGTACCAGGCCTAATTGCCCTATCACTTCTGATATGAATTTCTCAGAAGACATACCCACGTGTTCTGCTCACCTTCTGTAATCCTTGCCTTTAACACACTACTAACATTTTGGTCCTAGCTGATGAAGGGCCACTAAGTGTAGCCTACTATCTATTGCTTATGTAATTTTTAGTGAAACAGTTATCCAAAGGTTGTTATCTTCACATTTTTTCAAAGTCTGAAGCACATATAGTGGGGATACAAGAACGTAGACTTTTCCATAACTACAGATAAAATCTTAGGCATCCATTTTAGACCAAACAAATACAGAGGAATAGAGACATTTTTATTCCAAGATTCTATCTAGAGAATGTGTCTAGAGAATGTTATGCCAGTACTAAGTAATGGTAAGATCTGTATTGATATACTGATTCTTCTATGAACACCATACAGTATGTCACACTTGCATATGAAACCTTATTTAAGGTGGCCCAGACATTGGCTTCTTGTCAAACAACCTAAAATACTAACTTCTAGTGCACAGTTTAGTTTAGGCAGTTCAAGCTATTCTCACTCTCTCTGCTCAGCAGCTAAAACAAAAGTGTGTCTGTAAAACACCAGGAAACAGAACTTATCTTTGACAAGTGCTACTTGGTCTGGTGCAAAAGAACTTTACCCCCAAAACAGAAAAAAAGTTACCTTCACGTGATTCGCATCTTTAAAAATTTACAGTGCTTTCATTGTATAAACCACAAGCTCCTGGCAAAGTAATCAGTTTTCTTGCTATTGCAACATCTCTAAGTCTTAATTAACAGTCTTAGATATAGAGGAATCAAAGTCACTCCTTTCAGAAAACATTCATTTTCTGTTCATACTTAGTAGTGTGCCCCCAATCTCAATCCCTCAATTTGGAGATCATCCATTACATCTGATAAGGTGCTTTAATTTTATTTTGTGTTCAACTCATTTTCCAGTTCCGTTAGTTTCCTAGAAGCTTTTACTTTATTGGATACATCCTGACCCTGTGAAAAAAGTCGCTGGCGTTCCTTGAACGTCAGGTTTTCTGGTGCTCCAGGTAAATCTGCATCTTGACTGCAAAGGAAAGAAAAAATATTCTTTATAATTCTCATCTACAAGATCCTTAAACATAATCATTCTTGATGACACGTAATTACAGCTTCTTTGACTACAGCAAAGCAGTCTCCATTATGTTCTGAAAGGTTTTGTTCCTCACACATACCTTTAACTCTGACATTGTGCTGTCACTTGAGAGAAATTCATGACTTGACCATTTATTCCATGTCAAAATAAATGGAAATGCTTGCCAATTTCAACGTGAATGGCAGGTTATAAACTAAGGCTCTGCCTGTGTTAGCACAGCATTACTGCTTTGGCTAAACTAAAGCAGTTTTCTGTGGTGGCACATTTCTAAGAAAAAGCACTGGAAGTGCTTTTCTTGTCCTTTTCTTATCCCATCATCAATATGATACATGGTAAAGCCTGTGTGAGATGTGTACACAACTTAAATCTTTAATGCTTATTACAGGTTTTGTAAGAATCCCACTGCGGAGGTACTGTTCAGATTTATAAATACACCTAAACCAGGTGAAGTTGCTCATTTACAGTGACCATTTTGCTTACTTGTAGAGCCAAAACTTGTTGCTATTCAGCAATGTTTCAGATCATCTAAGGGCTTGTGGAGAGAACTTAACTGTGTTTTATAGTAACCCATAACAGAGCCAACAGCAGAACTCTGGAGCAGCCCCCGGAGATGCAACGATGACAACAGAAGATACTGCAGAAGCTAGCCAAGTTAGTTGTATAAAAGTCAATGGACTCCTGTATATCACCTTTTAGATCTTTTGTCTCTTGGATCCCGATAAACTTCCCCAGCAGCAGCTCCTGTAGATCCAGTGTATGAATTTATTCCTTATGCAAAAGAAAGAAGTAGGTTTAAGTACAGCAGCAACAACACAGAAGTTTTATACTGTATTCCTTCAAAAAGGTGCAGTGCTTCTTTCAAGAAACAATTCAAATGAGAATCATAAATAATCAGAGGTCATGTGATCTCTAGAATATTTAATCCCAGTACTATTAAATTCAAACCCTCTTCAAATGGGCTATTTTTTTGATTCCTAATTTTGAGTCAAAACCCATTTTGTTCAGATTGTCCAGCACATGCCAAATCATGGTCTTTTATCTTATTAAGCCTTATTGTAAAGCAGATACTAGAAGCTGTTCAAGAAGATCAACAGAAAGAGCAACACTCTTCATTATCCTGTGACAAACTTCACAGGAAGTAAATTAGCTGTAGCTCCTCTTTCTGAGGCTAAAAGTAAGCAAAGATTAGCGTATCCCATCTTTGCAATTCAGCAGAATCAAAATTTTAGTCGCTGCTAAGTCTGATACACAAACTGTATCACTGAGATGGCCCCTCCCTCCTGCCTCTGAATTTAAATTTCAAGTCCTGCAGCACTGCACCTTTAAGTTGATATAACACACAGGTTTTACACATTATATTAATTCCTTGTAAAGGCCACAAGACAAAACCTTTTATTTCCAATCAGAAGCTTAATAATTTAATTTATATTTAAGACCATATTCTCTTAATAACTGTCATGAAAAGAGTAAAAAGAAGTGTAGCAAACTACTCAGATTTGTCTTCAGACAGTTCTGATCTCAATATTGTTCATGTTATGTCTTGTGAACCTTCTTTGGTACAAAAGGAGATGTTTGCTTCTTCCACTGGTACATCTAACTTCTCAGAAATATTCAGTAATTGTGATTGAGGCTAGAACCCATAAGCCAATTTAGCTAATGTGTTGTAGGACAAATTTTTTCCATCAAAAATTTGCAGCAAACCAAATCATACTAGGTATGCCAGGCATATAAAGATTTTTTTTTTCCTCTTAGTTGTGAGTCTTACATTCCTGTAAGTACTGCCTTCCCTACTTTGAAAAGCTTGTGGCTGGATCCACAAGGTTTCATTTGCATTTAGATAGTGTTTTTCATTTGGGTGTTGACTTTTTCCTTGGTGAGCTGACAGACCCAATGGTCTTTAAAGACCCAGTGGAAGAAAGCACGAGAGCAAAATTTGCAGAAGCATGGTTCACTAGAGTTAACACTCAGAACAGGAAAGAGCTGTAAAGGACAGGAATGTAACAGAGTTAGCGAGATGGGAGATGGTCAAACTGCACAGTGAATTCTGCATTTTGTGCAAACGGCTTTGTACGTTACGCAGGCAGTCTTCAGAGAAGCTTGAGCAATCAAGTGAAGTTAACCTGTTCTCATGGCTATTTTAAAAATTATGAAATAAGAGTATTCATAATTAGTTGTATGGCTTATGAATTAGGCTATTAAAGGCGAAGCATCATACTACAATATTCCTTAATTGTTACCAAAACCCTAACCAAATCTTTGTAAATTGTCCTTTGATTGTTTTCCACAAAAAACAAATGTGCACAAACAATACCACTGAACATTTCACTTTCCTGAGATTAATTTTTCAATTAATATTAACAGAAAGCAGGATTAGAAATGCAATTATATACTAAATAGCATTCTGGGTTGTGGATGATGGGAGCCAGGGAGAGTGGTGGTGACAACTAGTGACTGATGGCTCTAGGGTTGCCTAACTGATTACATGTGCAGCCTTCTAAGTGCCAAATAGGGAAGGGAAGCAACAGTTTTTGCAAGCCTACATGCTGTGATGGAAGGCACATTTTACTTTTTATTACAGTCAATTTCAAATAAGAATTCCTAGAAAGTCCTTTGAAAGAAAAAAAATTAAGTACAGACATAAAGTACCCATGTTTCATGTCAGAAGCCTGCCATTTCAGAATATTTTTAATTCTTTGTGATATCTGGTGTTCAAAAGCTGAAGCTCTTCTGGTACAAAATTGGCTGTGGGTTTATCAGTTATTTCAGGTGCATGGTAGTAAGCATTATGGTAGTACACAGCATGTAGCGTCCAGAATTATACTCCAGTTTAATGAAAACACACTGAAAAGCTAAAACCTTTCCTCACTTTCCTTTAAGATTCAGAACCTATTACAGAGTTAGAGAGGAGTGACAGTGGGTTTGCAGAAGAGAGGCTATTACCACAGAGACGACTAGATCCTGAGATCTCACATGCAACACCAGCATAAATTATCAGGCTTCCCCTGACTTTACAGGAGAATCACTGTAGATACTTTTTTAATGCAACTTGGGTGTTGTGCTGACCACAAACAGTGGAACTACTGATCATCAACTGCACCAGTGGGACAGTAATTATAACTGAGCTAAACTGTCCTTCAGTAATATTAAAAACTACACAATACAGTGCAGAGCTTCTCTTCAGCACTGGAAGCAGTTCAATGGTAGCAGAAGCTTATCAGCCCTGCAAAGGAAAGAATGCTAATTTTCATTGCTGGAAAATGATGACTTGAGCCTCAACTGAACAGGATGTGGACAAGCAGTTCAGTAGCTTTGTATATATCCTAAATCAGAGTCACATATTATTGCAGCTGGATTAGAACTGCTTCTAATAGATGGAACCTATTTGGAGGCTCATATCTTCCCAATGCCCAGGGCACACTGCTGAATAAAGCAAGTGAGTGATTTCCTAATTTGTTAGGTAGCCAAAAAAAGTGATGAGGGATGTAACACACTACAGGATTCCATCTGTGCCACTTGAGTCCAGCAAACAAGCTGGCCATTCAGCTAGAAGCCAGCATAAACACCTTCCCTTGGGATCTCAGGTGACTTGCTACCTTTTTCATTTTAGAAGGATTAATTGATCACATAGAGTTGGTTGTCAGGCACTTGTTAACTGCCAGTGTAAGTAAAAAGAATAAACTATGAGAATGTCATGGCCACCACCTTCAAAAGAACATAGAAGAAAAAAAATGTAGAAGCACCAGCAGATGCCGCCATTTAAAGACTAAGTATTGTATCAATAAAGTGCAATCTTGTCAGAGTGAGACATACTCAAATAGTCAAGTATACAAGATTACTCCTATACAGCATCAGTTTAAAAAATATCCCCAGACTTTGGACTGAATTAGCTTTGGATTCAAGAGTATAGTTCAACTAGTACTCTGCAGGTAAAATATGGTGCTGAAGTTCCTGGCAGCTAGAACTCTAACTGAAATTAAACTTCATTATGGTTAGCTTGGAGTTATACAACAACAACAAGACGAGGAGTCAAAGAAACATAGAGGTATAGAAGGGAAGGAGTAAAACAGTACTAAGATGAAATTTAGATTTTTGTCTCTCTGCAAGGAAACTGCACTGTACAAACCAGAAATTCAGGAATGGTGCCTAATACATGAAACTAACTGCAAGACCTGTATTTCCCTTGGTGCTTGTGTATTTAAGATCTACATCTACAAATACAAATTTTAAAGCCATTTGCACACACTATTAAAAGAGAGAGAACCCTGGTACCAACAACAAAGCAGAAGATAAGATCTGTCCATGAACCCATTAGGAGAGATTTCCTGTGTTCAAGAAAGGTGCACTTCCAGATGCTCTGAGTAAACAGCAGTCATACAAAACAAATCACTTAAAGATACAGAGTGAAAGCCAAAACCAACAGTACTTCAAACTGATTGAGTAGCAGTTAAAATAATTTCTGATTCATACATGAAAGATGGAATTTTTGCTTTTGAAAAGTTTGGGTAAAGAGCAAGAAAATTTGAGAGATCAAAATAATTAAAAATTGAAGGATTCATATTAAGATCAAGATTTAAGGTAGATCACCAGAGTGAAAATAGTGATTAAGGGAGGGGGAAATCACAAAATAAGTGATTAAATCTAGAACCCTGGAGTTGAAAATACAAGGACAGTTTTGAAGAGATGACTTATTTCATTGTTTCTACCTTTAGAGCTGCTGGCATGGACGAAACTTGGTTTGTTTGATGGGGGCGGGGGCTGGCTTTTTTTGACAGTAGTACTGTTGGCATTGACAGAAGATGACTGGAATGAGTTGGAAAGAAAGATGCCATCTGAAACTGGGCGAGGCTGGCGGGAGGGCTGCTGTGGCTTAAGGGTGGCAGGAGGAAAGTCACCATAGGATTTTCTTGTGCTGGAGTACTTATCCTGACCTGCTAGATTGGAATCCTCCTCCTCATCATCATCATCATTGTAAGCAACAAACTTGGCAGTATAAATCGTGTCAGGGGAGAGGACCTGTGTTTTGAGGTAAGAGGTGTTTCGCTGAGGTGGGGGAGGAGGAGCGTTAGATGAAGGGGTTGGGGATGGGAGTTCATATTCCCGTGGAAGCGGAGGTCTGTACAGACCAGGCTCGTCAGGTTCCAGCAATCTTCGCTCAGCTTCATCGTGCTGCCTGCGCCTTTCAGCCTCTAAGCGACTGTAATACTCCTCTTCCTGGCGCCTCTAAAAGCCCAGAGGAAACAGAAACACAGTGGTCAGACATTTCAATCCACGAGATTTAAGCTTTCCATCAATGAGCTACAAACATCTTCTGTCAATCCTTTTGGTCTCCTTTTCTGGCTATAAGCAGGGCATCTATATGTACTTGTACAGAGAACATTTACTACTAAGAGTGAATGATTTTCGTGGGTGCACTGGTGTTTGGCCAGTGGTCAAACCATCACATTTGCAAAAACCCAGCAGCCATCCAGTAACACAGTGTAGCTGCTATTTACAGATTTACCACTGCCTGTGGTCACTAAAGCAACTGCCTGCGTAAACTAAGGGCATTCCAGCATTTATTACTCAAACTGTAACTACAGTTAATAAGGTGCAGATTTACTAAAGCTGTAGAGAATCTGTGGGAGAGGAATATAACTAAAATTAACTACTGCCTTAAAGGAACTTTGTGATTTTGTTTCATGCTTATACAATGTAAATTAGTCAAGAGAGCCTTGGAATAGATGACTCCTAACCAAGTTTCTAGTATAAACACCAGGAACACTACTTTCACACAAAAAAAGTATTACGAAGAATTTTTCCAAAACAGGCATCAAACAAATACTGTTAAAGGCATTAAAAACAGAAATTATTCTAATGATATCTACATGAGGTTACTGACCATTTAAAAGGTCATTAAATACCTTCTGTGTATTCTTCCTCTTTAAAAGACTGTTCTGTTTTTAAACTAAATAACATTTAATTCTGTTCAGCTCTTGTCTCAGACACATTGTAAATTAATACAAGGGTTTATTCAGTAGTTCGATAACAAATGAGGTGTATTTGGGAACTGTATGTACATTACAAAACCCATTGCGTATAAGCATAGAATAATTTCTGCTGGGAATATATGGCATCTGAAATAACCTTAACTTCTGGTTTTAATCCACATGTTTAAAAAAATCCACCTTAATGCTTATCTGTCCAATACTGAGTCAGTTATCCCGAAAAAATAATAAATAGATCTGATCTTGTTCATCTGTGGCAAAGACATGAAACTCATCTCCTTGTACTACTCTCTAAAACCATTTTACTGATGGTGCTGAGTTCTGAGTTGGTAGAAGTATCTTAGTCAACATCTGCCAGTGAAAACTCTTTCAAGTGTGATCCAAATGTCATGTGGCTGCATCATTTTCAGAAGTTAAGAAAGCCATAGTTGTTTTCTGTTGGTTGCATTTTTGAAGGTGTCTACAATCTACTTTTAAAAACTTTCCGCACTCCAGATACACCTTCCTCACTTCTCTCTTATTACCACCTCTTCCACTCATCCAACCATACTGTTTATGGGAAACAATTTAACAAAGCCTGAAAAATAAATGAACAAAGTTTATGTATCTAAAGTTTGGGGGCTTTCTCAATCTTTTTTATTTGCTCAATCTTTCAAGACGAACAACTTTAAAAGCCAGCTTTCTTTCTGAAGTCAGTGTTACTAAGAGGCAAACTGAACAGAAGTAACTGCTTTCTCTGGGAACAAAAAGGTCTTAAGAAACATGCTGAGTCAAATAAGTTGCTTTGTCTTCTAGTTTGATCAGTTAAGCTTCTCATATTTATGTATAATGTTTCAGCAGAACCTACAACCCTGAATTTTTATAATTTGACTGCACACTTATCTGCTAAAATTATTTACTTGCTTTCTAGAAACCACTTCCCTCCCACAGTCCAAACATAAAAAACAATATGGAATATTCATCACTACTCCATCGTATTTCATGCTTCTCTCTGTATCTATATTAAAAAATACTACAGAAATATGTAAGTGCCATCTACTGGGACACAGGAAAACCCAATAGCACTAACTGAGCCATGATAATAAAAAAGGTATGCAATTTATGATGGGAGCTGAAGGAAAACAGGAAGTACCTGATTTCTTCCATAATTTTCAGAAAGGCTCTGAAGTTAAGAGCCTTGCTCCTGCTAAGAACTGTCAGGCACTAAGCCTGCAGTACTATTTCTGCAATACCAGTCAACTCCAGCCAGCAGGAATGGGCTGTTTCTTTAATTCCCTTTTGGTTTGGATAGACAAACTGAAGCCTTGGGCCATGATCCCTATCACCAGGCTACTGTGTTTAAACCCTGCTGACCCAACACTGAGCTGGTACTGGGCAGGCTGAAGAGGAAAGGCCTGCAAGAACCCCTGTGGCATTCAGAAGACCACAACCTTTTCTTCAGCCTCTCTCCTGGTCCGCTCCTCCTCTTGCTGTCTGCGCTCCTCTTCCTGCCTGGCCCGGTCTTCTGCTTCTCGTTTCCGCATTTCTTCCAATTGTTGCTGCCGTCTGCGTTCTTCATCCTGTAACTAACAGGGACACAATTTTAATTGGTCACTCACATGGGCAAGATGGGTCAAAAAGGTAACTAAAAATGTAACTAAATACTGGCATCTAAAAGTAACTCATTCAGCAGAAAATGCTATGCTACAGATCCATCAATACAATTTCCAGTCATTACGAGTATGCTTTGTTACACTGGCTTGCCTAAAATCCCTAAGGAAAGAAGAAGCAAAATAGAGGTGCACAGAAATACATACATAAAAGCACAAATTACACAGGGAGAGATTTTTAGCAGTCATGTATGAACCCCCAGTAGAAGACTGATGTTACTCATGCTCTGAAGAGCTTCAACAACCATAGTGTCATAGGTACAGTAAAATGAAATTAAACACTTGGAACCAAAAGTCCACAGCTACAGCAGTCAATTCTTTTTTTCATTCTGGATTAGAATTTAAGTACCAGAAAATCATGACTCATTAGTCAAAGGGTCAATCCATTTAAAGTAACAGGCTCATTCAGCAAGTCTGCAAATAGACTCAGGAAATAAAATCTCCCACTGTATCTGCAGCAGATGGGTTTTGGAAAAAGCAGAGAGCAAAGAAAAGAAAACCTTTGACTACTGGGATGAAACAAGCGCACAAGAACAACTCATGTCCAACAGACAATACTGGTTTATATACGTGTATGATGCTGCACAGATAGGAAAACTGAGCACTATCCAAAATTTGCCTGATTCTTTAAAGCAAGCAGCATATAAGCCCTTAATGGACAGGAATATTCACTGGTATAGTAATACAACTAGAAATTAACTGGACTACATGCTGTGTTATTTCTTACTGCTGCATATGTTTCAAAGTATCTTTTTTTTTCCTCCCCACAATTAAAAAAAAAATCCTTATTAGTTTAAATCAAAAAATTATTTGATTTTGCTATAAACTGCATGTAACAGAGATACTTTTCTACTCCTAGATTTTATTTTACAATCCAAATTCACTTGCAGAAAAAGACCCTTAAGACACAAAGTAGTACAAGAGAGAAAGAGAAATTAAATCTTAATAGATTTTGTGACGACAACCTTAATGCAAGTATCTTCCTCCCCAATTAATTAATAAAAAAGTATAAACTGTTTGGCTAATTTTCTTCCAATTATTTCCTCCCATTGCTCATTTTTGAGCATGAAAGCTAAAGAACAAAATTAATTTGATGAATGTGTTTTAGAGGATGCTACTTCCAAGTAAATTCCCCTTATTTAGGGCTAAAATTTTGCTGAAAACAACAAAGATAAAGATCAAGCTCAGTTTGCACTGCAGAGCAGGGAACAGAGTAGTTAACCAACTCCCTGCTTGGATTAAGAGTTCATGTCTTAGTTATTAGAAAGACATTATTTTAGCAAAGGAGATAATACTGCTGTCAAAAGGAAATACAGCTAGTAATTCACAGGAGTTTATACAAGAGAAGTCATTTTCTCTTAATAATAAAAGAAGAAAAAAAAAAGGCAAGCAAAAACTGCACAGTGAGAAAATACAGGAAAATTCCTGTCCCAACTACATTAGAAAAACACCCTGAACATGGCAGTTACTGCTCCCAGGTTATGGTATGGATGCCTTACTGCTTAGCAGCAAATATTCCTATTCAAAAGCACTTAAATGGTAAAGAATGTCCAACTAAATTATAGAGAAAGTTAGGACTGGTTTGTTTAATTGTCTTCTGACCATAACTAAAGAGAGAAGGCAAAAGTTACCAAGCTGCCCACCTGGTAATTGTTGTTAACATCGGAATTGTAAGAATTGTGAAGACAACTGTATTCAGGTCAGAGGCTATTCTAGCCATAATATCTACAGGAAAATGGCTAAAAATTGTATGGAAGGCAGAAATGAGAATACAGAAACTATTAAGAGATGACATTTCATTTCCTGATGATCACTAACTAGTTTCTATTTTGGAGCATTCTCAGACCAAGGCAGGGAGTGGTAGGATGATTAGATATGCCAGAGCACTTGCAGGGATGTGTCTGTAATTCTGTGTGTTCCAACAGTACCCAGTTCTACCTTCACCCCAAATTTTCAAGATGCATAGGAAAATCAGCTTTGGATCACACTTCTACTGAGAGGGCTGTAAGATTCCCAGATTGAGTATTTTGATTGGATGCTTCTCTATCCCAATCAGTTTCTCTCTTGTTTAAAAGACATATTTTCACCTGATTTACTGAACTTCCACTATCTCCTCCAAAGCCACGTGCTTATATTTTAACAGGGAAGAACAACTAATTTGTACAGCCAGAGTGATGGAGAAGAGCATTCTCCCAGCTGTAACTGAGCAAAGCAGCTGAGCACAAAGCACCCATTCTTCTCCCCTGCTTTGACCCAGCTCTACTGCAAAGTGCCAAGCACTTGCTCAGTCACACAGCTTTGTCTCCCTATTGCCAACAGAACTGCTCCTACACCTCGGAGGGCAGAGAAGTCCACCCTTCCTCCAAGCTACTGATCCTGGTAAAGGGGTCAGTTGGGCTGATCCTATCAGGAATGTTAAGATATCCACAGGCCTGGCAGGCCATTCTCAAATCCAGGAAGTCTCAAATTTCAAAAAACATTAATTTCTCCAACCACTGCTTATAACACTCTAAAAGATGCTCCAGGAAAACTTTAAATTTATATCTATTTATTTAACAACAGTTAAAAAGCTGTGTCAGATCTCATAGATCCTGGGGAATTTAAAAAACAAACACTATCTAAGCTGACAATTCTTGTATTAACTGTTCATCACCTTCCTTCAGCCTTGTAATTAGAAGAACAGCTATCAACCATGCTCACCCTAGACATACAAAATAAGCATCAAACAAGACATGGTTTTGTTGTTGCTGGTTTTGGGTTTTTTTTAAAAAACAAAGTAGCAATTACTTGGGTATATGAAGTGGCATTGTTTAGATGCATTTATGTCTCAAAAGTCATGTGAATGGGATAAAAATAATGAAATTATGAAAAGTAGTATTTTCTGGGTGTAGCGTTCAACTATTTTAGTATTAGCTTGCTGCCTTTTTTTAAAACTAATTTTATGAACATCATAAATCATCGACTGATTCAGGCCATGCATCCATCTAGCCCAGTATTTTTCTGTCTCTGACCAAGGCAAAAAGAGCTGCACTTGAGCCTGGCCTTCTCTTCTAGCATTCCCCTGGCATTTAGCACACTGCCAGAGATGTCATCTGGTACAGCCTTGTCTAATCCTCTCAGCAGCTGCTTGCAGGCGTGATGTCTATGTATTTGTCTAATCCATTTTTCAAGCTGCTGATACCGTCTGCCTTCACCAACCTCCTGTTGCTGAAAGATCCAGATGTTTGCTGTCTGCTTGGAAAAGCTTTCTATCTATTGAGCTGCAGCTCCAGGAGTCAAGGTTTGAGAAAAAAAAATATAGGTAGTAATTAGAAAATATTGATAAGATGCTAAGTCTGAAAAATCCATGACTCCTGGCTTGTCCTTAAATTCAAGAAGGTGAAATGCTTCACCTGTTCCACTGCTGTAAGCTGTTTAACACTCACTAGCACACAGATACAAAACTGAGCACCTTAGTTTTTATAAGAGGTATGCATTTTAGAAGGTGATTTTTTTTCATAAGGCAGTGCTGAATATTCAAATCCATATTTTGAACTGACACATTGACAGTTTTTCCAAGCAGCACAAATTAAATTTTACTAGCATACCCTTTCTTTTAGAACTGGTACACTAATTACACAGAAATTGACTTTGAAGGGGGTGTATTTTTGCTGTGGAAGACCACAAAACTCCTTTTCCATGCCCAATGAGTGCAATAAAATACAAAATTAGCTGGAGTCATAGCAATTACGGTTGCAGTTTGAAAGCCTGTCATGTCTTAGATGCAAGAGAATAGTATTAACCAATTGAAACTGAAATGACATTGTAATTTAACGATTGCATGTTTATGCAACCAACTTGGAAATGGCAGTTTGGAAGTGATTTCTGAGTTTACAATCCATTTTTATGTTAATCTGCCAAAACCAAACACCTGTAACACCTGCAAACAACAGGGTGTCAGCATGTGCTGAAGAAGTGCGCTGCATTATTAGGGTCTCAGTACAATTTCCCTTCAAACTGTAAAGGAAATGTTCTCTAGAGCTCTTCTAAAACCTGCATGGGTGCAAAAGGGAAGGGAAGCATTCTTACCTCACAGCCTGTTCATTCAAAGTTATTAGTAAGATTTTGTAAACAAAATTGCACAAATCAGTAGATACAGTTTTTATGTTAGATCTCTGCTGCAACAAACAAATCAAGTCTGCAAGCAGAACACAACATCTAAGAGGAAGGAAACACAGGGAAAGGAATCACCATATCTGAAAACATTCAAATGCATGCTTGCAGTTAACTGACTGCTTACAGTACCATAATGATCTCTGAACACCCAAAGATGCCAGATCATCATCCAAAGCACATAGGGCTGTTATTAATAATAATAAGGAACTGAAATGGGAAAGAGATATTGAAGAGAAAGAAACAAACATACCAAATCTAGAACAGAGATTGCTGGCACAGCAGTCTGCTGCAGGTAGTAAGAAAAGGGAAAAAAAAGAAAGATGCACAATGTAAATAAAGATAGGTTAGACATGTGTTATTTCAAAAGCATTTTCTTTTATTTGTTTAGTTGGCTGCTTTAGAATGAGGAACTAAATGGACATAAATGTGAAATACAGAAATTAAAACAAATAATCCAAAAATATCCAAATAATCCACCTCAGTAGTTCTGCAAAGATGCTACTTAACTGCATCTCTAAAAGCGAAATGTAATCAAAATGAAAACATGAATTCAGTTCAATACAACTGTTATTTTTTAGTTTCAAAATGTTCCAAAAAGCTGGAAGAACTTCATGCACAGTGTTTTAAAGCCAGCACTTGCAGAGAAGACTAATATTGTTATGCAATACAACTGGCTTTTTTTTTATTAACACGTGGCCTTCTGAGCCTTGCCACAGTAAAATTTTTAAGACATTGTTTGTTAAAATGGCAGTTACACATTAATTTTTTATGCCCATAGGTAACTGTCTATATGCCACAAATTGCCTCTTAGCAATGCTGGACTTTAGGGAAACCTGTTTGCCGAATGCATATTTATTAGCTTTTTCTTTCTTCAATTTCCAAATTTGAGGCATCTATTCTTTTACACAGTAATAAAGTTAGGCATAAGGAGGAAAAAAGGAAAGCAATGCAGACTGCAGCGAATACAAGAAGAGTAAGTTTAGGAAATGAAGCTGCCAAAACAATCGTGAACTCAAATCTCACTCAAGCCACCAGCTATTTCTAAATGTCAAAACAAGCATGTCCAAACATTTCTCAGGAATTAAACACTGCTTATCACAGAATTAAGTCAACTCTTCAAGACAAACACACAGAAGACACTGAACATATTACAGAGCTAGCTTTTAAGCCTGGAAAAGCATAGCTGTTGGTATGTAATTTTGGAATCCATGCTGTTATTCAGGAAAGAACAGATTTTCCTATAGACACTTTTTCTCAATAACAGTAGATTTAGCAGAGTCTTGGGAGACAACAGCCACCAGCAAGAATAGTTAAAAATTTCACCATACTGTTCAGTTGTATTATCTTATTACATATATTACGAGCTTTCAGAGAACTGAAGCTAAGGTAAGCAAACCTCAGATGCTGATTAAACTGGACACCATGAAAAATCCAGGCCTCGGATTAGGAGGAGCTGGAGCTCTAGACAAGGTGTATTAGCTATTACACCACCCAATACCACACAGCTCAATGCTCCCTCCACTGCTGAGGTCAGCACTGAGGGGTGGTAAAGGCAGAGGTAGCAGCTGTATCAGACCAGCAAGTTGGAACGTCTGTTCAGCTCACTAGTCCCTGGAAACAGTATGCATTCAGTGTCTGTGTTCATGACCCAAGACTATAAATAAAAACTTTTAGAGGTAAATACACTGGGGAGGAGAGGGAGAAATCACACCATTTTTATTCCTGATTCTCCTACAAACTTACGTAATTTAACATCTTTTTGCTTACCTTTCTCCAAGCAAATTTTTAACACAGTTTACCTTCTAACCATACTCTAGGTACATGGCAAAATACCTTTATCCAAAGGAAACTTTTCTCTCCCCAAAACCAGAAAAATAAATTCAATTGCTAAAATTGAATTCTATAAAAGGTAGCTTCGAGATTTTCACAATATATTACTTAACTGATGAAACCACTCTAAGTTACTAATTTTAAAATTCAAGCCATTTAAGAAAGTCTCATCCTCCTTTACTGTCTAAGAACATCAAAACACTCAAAGCATGAAAACCCACCAAGCTAAAAATTAACAGTATTTTTTTCTAGAAAGGATTTTACCCTTGCTCTTCTTTCTGCCTCCAGTCGCTGCATGATGAGCATAGTATCCACCTCATCATCCTCTTCTTCATCATCATCCTCATCCTTTTGCTTTGATTCTTGCAGTCGCTTTTGGAACTGCCACTCAAGCATGAGTTTGCGGAGGCGGTCGTTTTCTTCTGCTGTACGATCAGGTTTGTTCTGAAGGTCCTGAATCTCTTTACTCAGCATGTCCACGATGTGCATCTGTTGCTGCTTTTCCAGCTTCTCCTTCGCATCCCGTTTCCACGGATCTGGAGAGAGGCTGTCACCAGAGGACAGCTCTTCCTTGCTGATGGTAATGTACTGCAGGTCTCTCCGCTCAATAGTCCGCGGCTGCTGTTGGGGCTGCAGCTCTCGAATAACTGTTTCTTGAGGCCTCTGCAAAGTTGAGGGCTTTTCTGATTTCACTTGTTGAAGGGAGACAGGAGGAACCATGGGCTGAGTAGGAATTAGTGTCTGAGAACGCATTTGGCCCAATTTTCTCTCCTGCTCACGACGTTTCCTTTCTCGTTCTTCTTCCAAACGTGCCTTTTCCTTTTCATACCACCTCTGATGCTCTTCTCTTTTTTTACGCTCAGCAGCAGCTACCTGGGAGGATGCTTGTGCTCCTATCTGGTTTGGAGGAGGAGGTGGAGGCAGAGGCAAATCCATTTGTAGTTCATCAAATTCAGCAGCATAATGCACTGGAGGAGGTGGCGGCGGAGGGGGAAGATCTGTTCTGATGGGCTGGGAAATGGCCACTGGAGTCGGCTGGCTAGTGGCTGGAGTCTTCCAACGGCCAGGTCCACTTTTAGCTAAACAAGAACCAGGCGACACTGGTTTGGAGGAATGGTTCAGATGTTCCTGGCTAGATGTGCTGGAATCCACAGATGAATTCATCCACTGATCGCTGTCTGACTTCCGATCAATGTACTCCACATCCTTGCGTATAACAACTTCCAAACGATTCCTCTCTGGCTGGAAAACTTTGTCTCTGAGCTCTTCCTGAGAACGAGCTACACGCTGAAAAATATTAAACAAGGCATGTGTATCACAGTCCATCCACATTAAAACATATTTGAAAATGGCTTACAAAACACATTCTTATTACTGAAAGTAATTACTTTTAACAAATTTCAGCATTTCCATACCCAGTAGGTTTCCCAAAACCAACAATAAAATATTTTTCTCAGTCTTCTTAACTCATTTAAGCAATGGAAGACTTAGCAAGCTCCTGGGAACTGCCTGGTAACTGGACTGGGAGGAATGATGAATGCAAAATGGAGTTTAAGCTGAAAATCTCCCCAGCTCGCACAGTTTCTCAGGACTATCCCTGACACCCCCTCCCCCATGTGTGAGTATGGAAGTCCTGGTAGCTCTGAGCAGTGGCTCAGTCATATCAGCTCTGCCATTCAGACTTCAGCTGGCTTCACTGAGCATCTTTCCTATTGGGAAAGCAAACACAAAGGCTGCAGACAGAGAGACAGAAGAGCGCCTCTGCCTACCCTCCTCCATTAGCAGGAGAGATGCCCTGCAGGAAGCTCCCATTACTGACACAATTCAGGGTACAGAATCCAGGCAGGCAGTCTAATTCTACCTGCTCCTGGAACATGAGTATAATGGTCTGAGATTTTTGTCACTTTAGTGCAACACTAAGTCTTTTTCTATAGAAGCTCTGGGTCCCATTGCACTGAACAACCACCTGAAAAGGAACACTGGACCATAAACCAGGATTATTAAATCTGTTAACGATTTTCTTGAAGCAAATATTCATACTTTGACTGTTAGGAACTGCTAAGCACTGAACACATAATGCACCAATTATCAACAATTCAGAGAAGACTAACAAAGCAAACTTGTTTTATCTTCCTCCATCAATGACCTTAACCATGACCTCTAAAGAATGCCTTCTTTGAGAGGAACAAGTGTATTTTTTATGCTCTATTAGTCCAACAGAGCTGAACACAAGTTATTTGTGGTAGATTTGCTGTAAAGATGCACCTAGCCAAAGTTTGCTAATGCCTTCAGAATAGAAAACAGGCATTTAGCAGCTTTTTTTACAAGCCCTGTTTTTTCTGCAAAGATTAAAGTGTATTTTTTTATTGTTGTAAAAGTTTTTCTTCTGTTTTCTTCTAATTTTCAACTTAAAAGAACTCTCATCTGGCAGGGAAAATCTATTAACACTTTCAGTGCTAGTAAGGAGTTAAACCTTGTATTTTGCTTTAGCAAAATCCTTTTCTGCCCTGCCTTCAGCCTTAAGGCTATAGCTCAAATTCAGTGTCTGTCAACAACTTTAATAGATGGGCTTCATCTTTACTAGTTTTAACCACCTCATCTAAGCTACTCACTTAAGCTTGTTTTAAGCAGGGGAGAGATGCATGTCCAGGCAACAATTATCATAGAATTCAGTTAAGATAAATAGGTAGGAACTGTTCTCTGGAGACACCCACCTCCCTTTCTCCCATCACTGACAGAGAGCATGTAGATGTTAGCTATGCAGCTAAGAGTAAGCGAGAGGAAATCATGAAATGTGTAAGAGTTAAGCATGGAAATTCAGTAAAATATTTCTGTATCTATTTGCTAAAGTTGTTCAACTTGCAGCATTTCCCTTTCAAAATTACTGTCTTACTTTGAGCAAAACATCTATTTTTTTAACAGCTCAAATAATGAGAATTTTATCTCTAGAATACTAAAAAAACACTAAAATAAAAGTGACTTTTTACTGAATACACTTGCCCATGCATGTGTGAGCAACCTATAAACAATTCTTTCTTTGCTTACATAGACAGAATCTCAAGCTAATGTACACAGCACTTTTCCAAAAGTAAAGGATAAGCCTGGTGTAAAGCTCTGCTTTTATCGCTAATTAAGAAATAGCAAGGAAAAAAAAGCTCCCTATATTTTTAAGTCTGGTAGATTAGAGAAAGAAGATGATCCAGTAACTAGATTTAGGAGATCTAGGTTTAATTTCCTGCATGGATTTGAGTGAAGTTCTCACTAAAAGGAGCAGAACAGCACTGTGTTTGAATTTCTAAAAGTACAATGGGTGTAAATTCCTTCCATATCAAGATGCATCTACACTTTGATAATAGATACGATTTGAAATTATATATTTCCTTTTTTAGCTAGGAGCAGGGAATGTGTTTCAGTGAACACCTTGGAACACCTTGGAACACCTTCAGTGAACACCTTGTTTCAGTGAACACCAGCCTCAAGAACTGTTTTATTTCAATTTTAATACTTTATCACTTAAATAGCACACCCTTCAGGCAAACATTTTTCCACATAAACCTTCTTGGAAGAATGGAGATATAGTTTGCTTTTCAGAAAGCCAGAGAACATTTTACATGATGAATCCTACTACCACTGACACCTCATTATCTCCAACAGGGGGATTAAAATATCCCAGATAACAGGTCTGCAGAACACGGTAACAAATTCTGTGAAAGGAAGGGGGGGAAAAAAGGCAAAATGCTAAGGAAAAAAACCCAAACCATAGGGTTCCTGAACTCAAGACCACCTTGGCAAAAGTACAGTTGTTCCCATCTTATGGTATAGTTGTAGAGAACTGACGATTCTGAAAAAAGTCTCTAGCTGCCCAGGAATGGAAAGCAAGTTGTTTCCTCATACTGAAAAAAAATTACTTCTCACCTGCATGGTAGTATTGATAGAATTATTACTTTCTGCCTGAAGCTGTGGTTTTTCTTCATAACTTGGCCACTGACTCTGAGCTGGACCCATTCGATCCTGTGACTTTGAAGCTGGAAATGTGAAATATTCTCTAGTATAGGTCTGTGTTGGGATAGGATAAGCTTCAGGTCGTGGTGGCAGAATCTGCTCCTGAAAAAGGGAGAAAAAAAATCAAGGTATGATTCTCTAATCACATAGATCTGTATTGAAGATTGCTCTAAACATGTTTTTTCCAAATATTTTCTTTTGGCTCCTAAGAGCATTACTCATCTGGGACAGGAGATGAAGAGGTTGCCTAGTATCAAATATAACTGTGGCTATGACTCATGTTTTTATGGTCTCAAAGCGAGTATGCAACATTGTACAAACCTAAAAATCACAAGGACAACTTCATGAACAAAATTTAATGAAATCATTGAAAACTTTCCAAACCTTTCATTAGCTGTAATAAGCAAAACCCCACCCAGTCACAAGCAACAGCACTGTAGTCAAACAGTTCAGTGAGACACTGATTTGAGTCAAGCCCACTGACACTACTAATAGATAAAGAAAGTTTAATAGCCAGCATTTTGCTTGCCATTTCTGACCTCTGTACAAAGATTTCCAGTAGAGACTGAGGTTATTTTGGTAGTAGTTCCAGATGCATAAGCATTCTTTCCCCCAGGGCTTGGAGGCTGATCTGTTGGAAAGTAAAGGAAGCATTTACATGACGGTTAATAATAATTTACAGGCCTTAATAAAGACTTAATAAAGTAACACTATTCACAAAATAACTATATTGTCTTTAAGTAGTTCTATCAAGAAGCTTGCTCCAAATGTTGCCACTACACTGGTATTTTAAACTTAATCAATTTTTAAAAAAACAGTCACCCCCTTTTGAATACAACAGCCTCTAAAACTACTGCAGGAGAAATCTATCCCCTAAAGAAGGATAACTTTTCTTACTTGCTACATTGGGACTGGAACGATGATCAGCCCTGTTCTTCATCAGTCTGTCATCCCCTGGCAGCTTCTTTGGTTCACTGTACTCCGTCCAGGGCAGCTGGGGACTCTCAGGTGATCCATTTTGCGTGGAATTGTTGTACAGCTCAAAACCTTCACTCTTTGGTCGGGGTTTACCTGAGCCACGGCGGTCAAAAACTGTAACAGTTGGATATGGAGTTTCTCCTTTTCACTTAACTATTGCCTAGCGTATTTTTTTTCAAACCAGAGCTACCTTGAGCTTATATTTAAAAATTAAGTTCCCAGTAAAGCAAATGCTAGATTTAAAAATCTTTATTTCTTCAAATACATAATCCCAATCTTCTATCAAATGTACAGAATTCCCTCCATCTGTATTCTTTAAAAGAACTTCTGACAAAGTACCACAACAATTGGAAAAACTAAACATGTTATACTGAGAGGTCTCTGGATGACTGGGACATATGGCATCTCGGATGGTGGTGTCAACTGTGATAATAAGGATTTGTTCTTTTAACCCATTCTTTCCTATACTGGTACTGTATGTAGAAAATGTCTTCATTAACAAAATTATTTCCTTTACAATACTATTTTATATTGGACTTTAATATGTCTTTTGTTAGTACCCTGAAGTAGGATGATAAAATAAAACATTGGAGAAGCATCCAAGAACTTCTTATGATCAGACACTGAAACTTAAGAAGATACATTTCAACATTTCTAGTTAAAAAAAAAATTAAAATTCAATGGCAAAATACATTTCAGGGCTTCTATTTACATTTATTTCTCTCCAACTAGTTACACTGCACTGTGTGGTTACAAGGAAGACATAATTCTGAGAGGAGAGAAGCTCTTATAAAAGGGACAAAAAATGCCATTGAGTTAATTGCCCTTTATATTAATTATATTCCATTTGTTAAAACAAAAATGAATTCAAATCAGAATTGTGTTTAAATGCATAATTAACTTTTAAAAGGTACACGTGCAAAGGATTTATTCATTACTAAACTAGGAAAATTTCAAGCAGTATTTAAAACCAGATGAATTTCTGACAAGAAAGGAAATTTCTTTTTTTCTGTGCAATTATATTTCTTTTCTGCTTTAATATTATAGTAATGCTTGGTATGATACTGTAAATTATTCTATTCTCTGCATTCTTATGAGTGTAGAAGACAGACTTACAAAGCTATTATTAACATCAATATTAGTATCTTTACCTCTTTGCATCATTGGGGATGGCTGATTAAGCAGGGTTGCCAGGCCATGGTAAATTGCTCCTTGTTTTGCTACTTCTAGTGTTACTACAGAACCTGTCCTAGTCATAAGTTCTGCTGCCCTACAAAAAAAGGCAGAGCAAATAAAACAAAATTAAATTAGGCACTGTATTACTTAGTTACCCTTATTATCAGTAATCTGTTGCTTGACAAAGCACACTTTTTCAGACTAATACTTAAAATCACTTTGAAAAAAATTACAAGATAATGACAAGAAGATAGGCTTATGCACGCAGACAATACCTACTGGCAAGTACTACTTTAGTCCCAGTTTCTGCTTCAAAGGTCAGAAGCCAAAGTATTTAAAATTAAATAAAGTATTTAAACTGAAATAAAGATTGTTCAAAACCAAAATCCAAATGTATAATACAATCTTACAATCTCCTCTATATAAATGACCCACACTGTATGAAAAGAAGAGAAAAATACTACACAAACAGTTGAATTTGTTGCTAAGGTTATCCATAGGCAGTTATCAGACACCAAGACAAAGCATAAAGTGTAAAAATCATGAGCTTCTGCCCATTTTGGTACATCATTAAGATAACATTTTGCTTCTATAAAAACAACCAAGGAAAGCATTCTGTACCTCTCCTGGGACAGGCCCACCAAACTTCGACCATCCACACTAAGCAACTGATCCCCTGCGGCCAGACGACCATCCTAAATATGTGTTCAAGAGAAGGAAATTCATACATCAATGCCAGCATGATCTCCACTAAAACAATCAATCATTCACAAACTACTGAATCATACAAACTAGTAAACAAAGGATTTGCAAGCATTTCTGAAGGCTCTTACTACTTCTGAAATTGATGAATTAAGAATATTACTGACCACATCTGCAGCACCTCCTTTCACAACAGACTTGACATATATTCCAAGTTTGTCTTGACCAGCACCCTACAGAGAAAGAGGCGTTAATTTAGTTAATTTATATTTGATCTCTTAAGCACTCCACAAACTTTAGAAAAGTTTACACGGTTAAGTAAACCTCTACTTTCTCATTATTTTTATATATTTTCAAACAGGAGAAAAACCAATTATGCAGAGAAAAGTTACATTCAATTAAAGTCACATGAAAAATTTAATAGTAGGCCTATCAAAACTGCAAGCTTTGTTAGAAGCAAAGAATATTTGGTCTTAATGCAAGTTTGAATTAAAAAAAATACATTAACTAAAACTTATACTTTAGAAGTTTGCTCTAGTCTCCTTCTATTAAGAAATACTTATTTGCACTTTTACACACATGTTAATTATAACTCTTTGTATTATGTTTTTGAAGAGAACACTGTACCCCAGTGAAACAACGTAAACTGCAGATTACATGAAAATGGAATAGAAATGTTTTTTTACATTCATTAGGACTGTAAAGGAGCCAGTGTAAAGAAACAGAGAGTGCCTTCAGCTTTACATAAACAAGTAAAGCAGACATAAGTATTTTAGAATTGACAGAGCCAATATTTAAGTCTAGTGCAAAACCATGCAATTTTGTTCATAAAACATCTTTCTCAAAAGTGTTCTGCTACATTTTGAAAGGACTGTTAACAATGAACTTATTGCAAGACAGATACCAACAGATACCAAGATACAAGAATGGAAGCATCTATTCAAGCCATGCTGTTGTGTCATCCACATGCTCCAATGTACAAGACACCACACAAATCAGTCCAAATGTTAGTATCACAAACCTTTCAGTTGTCTCTTATAATGTAAGACTATTACTTGTCATTTATCTACTTCAGCAAATGGTGCCATTTTACTCTGCAAGTCACTTAGGAGAGTGCTAAGTACATTTTCAACAGAGCACAGACTTAATTGCAACATCATTTTTCTTGTACAACAACCCAAGTTGCTTTGATATTGAATATACAGCTTACTCCTTTTTTCCCCTTCTCCTTTGCAACTCTTTGGTTTTGGTAGCAAAAGCATGCATTGCTCCCATTGTTTTAATAGAGAAAAATCAGAACCAAGGTGAAGATTATTCCAAAGCTAGTGTTACACAGACATGGTTTTCTGCACAAATGAAAGACTTATTTTCATTAAGTCTTAGGTTAATCCCAAATGTTTACACAAAAGACGCAGAAAAATAATTCCTTCAAGTCTTATGATTCCAGATCGACATTTTACATGTCCAAATTTTTCACAATAATTGCTTAAGTCATACTTAAGGGTAAAAAGGAAAAATGCAAAAAATAACTGAAATACAGATACTTTCTTTGTCTAGAAAGAATACAAAGAAATTAAGAGAGTTCAGTTTCTTTTTGGTTTGTTTTTTTTTTTTTAAGCTCTAAAGAAACACTGCTGTAACTGCAGAATAATTTTAACTTTATACCAGAAAGATTGGCTACAGTTATGAGAAACACAAGTCAGAAGACAGCTAGATAAATGTAATGGAAAATGAAATCACGCTTCACAAATCTCTTTGTTTTTCCCCCAAAGAACCAAGATGCGTATGAGGAAGGATGATCTAGCTGAACACCAAGACTTCCAAGATGGACATCGCAAGATCTTTTAGCAGGAGTTCTTCAAGAGTGACACACAATAAGAAAGTCCTTGTGTATTAATAACAGGTTCAATAATGAATCAAAAGTTGTTATTTTTCACAAGGAACAGAAGTTTGCAGAGGAGCCCTAAATGTATGCGCTGTTTACCATGCTCCTACGTGTTCCAGAAAAGGGCAAATAATAGTAATGTAACTAAATGTACCAAATAGAAGATTCATCAAGTAAGTCAAAACCAAGAGCTGCAGATGGATCACCTGATGCTGAACACTGGAGCAGTAATGGGGTGAAGATGTACTTCACTGGTTCAAATGTGGTGTAATGTTTCAACCTTCTAAGGTGCTGGTTTCCCACCAGGGCACTGTTGGCAGAACCAGTTACAAGCTTTCCTAGCTGGGAACTGCAAATTAAATGACAGCGTTTACATGTCCCTTCCTATGCCTCGAGTCACTAAGCACATCTGAAGGCAAGAACCTTGAATTCCAAAGGGCAAAATAATCAAAAGCAACTCACCCACCCACCCCTGAGCTGTAACTTCATGCATCACATCTGTCATTGCAGGAACCAAACACCAGCTTTTCTTAGTGGCCACACTGACCAAGGCTAATCAGATTCCTCTTAAGCCACCTGGAATTGATAGCATTTTTATTCAGTACTAACTTCAAAGGATGCTAGCAGGAATCTCTTTGCCTTAGGTCCAGAAATTCAGACAAAGATCTGTCTCATACCATGATTAGGTAAAAACAAGGAAACCTTTGGAAGAGCACCGCCACTTAAAACAGTGCACACATTAATCACACAACTTTGGTACTATTTATTGCATTAGACACTATATTCATCCATATACACCACCTTTGTCATGCTTGATTATGACTCTTAGGCACATTAATCAAAGTTGAAACCTTCTGTATAAGCCCATGATACGTGGCTTACATTGGTTTGCAGATAATGATGAAATAAACATTTTCAATTGCACAAACACAATAAAGAATGGTTTCTAAACTGACTTTAACTTCTAAAGTTTAATCACTATTTCCAGAGCCATCTTATATCAGCTCAGAAATCTGGAAGCCAGCAGAATAGAAAAGAACAAAGCAAAAGCCACCATGGTCACTAAAAATCTAAAAGGGTCACATTTAGAAAACTGCTTATAATTCTAATTACTCCCTTACAAAATGACACTAACAGAATCATCAGACACATGGAATACCTTTCTTGAGAGAACCAACTAAGAAGACACATTGGTTCCTCAGCTCAGCAACAATCAAGGAACTGAAGGCCAATGGGATTATGAGTTGCACTGATAGAATTATTTATTATCTCTCTGATCAGCCAGTAGAAAACATGTTCTTACCTCTCCTATCACATCTAGAATGCTTTAAATAGTAAAACAAAAACAAAATGCAACCAATCTCCACCCTGCAAAACATTTTCCGTAACATTTCATAATTAAATTGGGAAACAGCCAGGAACAAGACTGCTGAAAGATGCCCAAGTGTAAACAGAAGCCAGGATTCTCGGTAGCGCTCTTTGAGGCTTTAGGGAAAACACCAACCAACCAACCAACACAGAACCAAGTCTGAAATTATAGAAAGCTAGAAACCAGGATGAACCACGGAATAATCTGGGTTAAAAAGAACCTTAAAGACCATCTAGCTCCAACTCCCTTTGCACAGACAGGGACACCTTTCACTAGAGTGAGTTGCTCCAAGCCCCATTCAGCATGGCCTTGAACACTTCCAGGGATGGGGCATCCGCCACTTAGCTGAGTTACCAGTTCCAATCCATCACCACTCTCACAGTAAAGAACTTCTTTTCAGCATCTAATCTAAACTTACTCTTATGCAGTTTAAAGCCATTCCCCCTTGTCTTGCTCTTCTCACAAGTCCCTCTGCAGCTGGCTGGCTGGCACCCTTTAGGTACTGGAAGGCCACAATTAGGCTACTCTGGAGTTTTTACTTCTGGCTGAACAATCCCGATTCTCCCACCCCTTCCTCACAGGAAAGAAATCTTACACTTTTGTTATGCTCTTTGGCTAAAGGCACCACAGCTGGAAGATACCATATCAGTCAGATTTTTGCTTTAACTGCGCTGATAACCCTGACAGTAATTCTTCATTATGATTCAAAGGAGCTGGCATTTTACTCCTCATTGCTTCTTTTACAATGTTTTTATGATATCTATACAGTCTGTCAATCTCTTTCCTGTTCTTTTAAAGGAAGTTATGAGCAGATGCATTAGCTCCAAGTCATCTCACTTAAATACAAAAACAATGCATTTTGAAAGCATAAAAATTACTTAAAAATAAATCTCTGTTCAGATTACATGACAAAAAAAATCTCTATCAGTTACCACATTTCCTCATGTCTTATTAGGACCAGTGAGCTTCTCCTCTAATTCACATGTCATTTAACATGTTTCTAACGATATACATGTACAAGCTTGGGAAGACTTCTCACTAAATACCTTAAAATCAACTCATCACCTTCCCTTCAACTTTCACCCTAAGCTTTACGGTAACTTGAATCCGAATTCCTAATTTCTATAGAAATAGACTTGATTTTGCTTTGTTTCTACCTTTCAGAAGGCTGCATTAGAAAAAAAATATACAATTTTTTAGAAACATTAAATGGTTCTTAATATGTAGTCAGTCATACTAAACTCCAAAGTGAATAAAATTCTTACATGCTCCACATGGGTTTTCCTGTTTTCATTAAAGGCTTTACAATTAAACAGATTTCTTTGTGAACTACTTATTAAACTGCTTTTCTTTCAAAGGAATGTGAAAGTCAACATAATTAAAACTATTCCCCCACAGATAGAGCAATAACATGTATGTATCAGTAACAAAAGTATGGTAGACCTTCTTTTCACTTAATTTTATTTTCTCCAATCTTTATTACCAGAAGCATGTGCATCCATATGGCTTTTAGTCCAAACAGAAGAACACAACTGTAAAGGAGTCGGATGACTGCGGAAAGCAAGAATGCAGTAAGCATAAAGAGATGGCTTATTCCCTTTCCCCAAGATCAACATACTGAAGCATACAGCATATTTTCTCAAATATACACAACCAAATACAAAATCACGAAAACCTTCTCAAGGATTTTTCAAAAAATAATATAAGATACTCTATATTTAAAAAAGCCTCATCTGCTGTACCACACTTGCTAGTGCTACCAATCTACTCATTTTCTTTCACACTTGATACAACTTTTTCCCACAATCCTTGCAGAAAGTAAAAGATACTCTTTGAAGGAAAAATTTGGGAAATCCTCTCCTTTAAGTAATACTTTAAGGAAAAAAAAAAAACTAAACTGCTAGTGCTGTCTCAGTTCACCTGGGTGACAATATTCTCTAACTGAACTGACTATAATACAACTCTGTGCCTGCAAAACA